GGATCAGCATTTAGCTGAAATCCAAGAGCATTTTCTGCTTTCTGCTGGTGTCATGCTGCAAAACGACACCCAAAAGTGTGGGCATTAAAGGAAAGTTTCGCTTTTTTGCTCCTCATGCAATTGCAGTAAATTGCCAGCACAAAAAGAGGAGTTGATGAGGAGGAAACAAAACCCTTCCCAACGGCGCACTGAATGGCTTTTGGGACCATGACCATCCTGGGGGCAATTGATTCCTACGGGCGACTGCATGGGCGTGGCATGCTGCTACTTAAAGCGCATTAGCAACAATCAGCCGAAGGAAAAACAAGCTGATTGCATTGAGTGCGAAAATTGCAGCTGAAAATTGAAGTGATCTGCAAATATAGCCAAATGACAAAAAGATGGTCAAAATGAAAAGTCCTTGTATTTTCTCTCTGCAAGTAACGCGGTTAAAAAAATGCCAACAACAGAAGTGCTCCTTCTGTTGAACGAATAGATATTACTTGCAACTAATAAATTGTACACCTTTCCAACCAAGAAACTCTTCAACTCGAATAAAAATATTCTGCGTGGTCGTCAATCAAATTAATGAGTACTTAATAAATACCATTAAATTTTTATTACACTTTCACCGCAAGGCAAAGGAAATTGATGGCGAAGGGAGAGCTGCTGGTCCATGGATAGGTGTATAGGTGTATAGGGGTACATAAATTGAATAAATCGCTTAGCAGCTTTCAGACAGTTCAGGTGATATATTTGACAATTTGGCACAAGTGGATCTAGACTGGCTGAATGTGTGGCCCAGTCCCTGTTTGGGTTGAATAATTTGTGAACGATAACCAGAGTTTAAATAATTTTTTTGTCCACTTGCTGTATTATTTCCTAAGTATTATTTTGTTATTATTTTATTTAATATTTTAATACACAAAAAATATAACACATGCTATAATTCTGCATCAGTAAAAATAAGTTTTTAGAATAATATTAATATTTGATAAAGAAGTACAACAAATAAATTATTTAAAATGAACATTTAGTCTGTGTTATTTTAGCTAAATTCTTTTGGGAATTTGTATCTTTTCGTTCTTATTTTTTTTTTATTTTTAGATGAGGTTCTTTGTCGCGTGGATTGGTCTTCTCTACTCACTTTTCATGGAGGTAATCCAGAGCAGAACTCGCTCCAAATCGGTCGCACGGCGCTATTGAAACCTTTGCCAATCTCCGCTAATCAAAGCTGCCCAATATTGCCTCCCACAGGGACGAATCAAATCGTGTTGGTAACTGGTAGCAGCGTCCACAGGGCAAGGACAATCCCGCCAAATAGCTTTTCCATGGCGATTTTCTGGGCTCCAGCCGACGAGTTATGGCCGCTATTTCCGTTTGGTTTTCACAACTCAACGCGCCGACTTCCTCGCTTTGCCTTTGCACCTCCAGGTGGTCCATGGGCCAAGGTCCAATGGCCAAAAGACTGGGCCAAATCGGTTAGCGCAGCTTCCAGCGGGTTTCAATTTTATCGCCGCCAATTTACTGCTGTGCTGTTCTGTGTGTTTTCCTTTTTTTGCTGGTGTTTTCTGTGTGTTGAACCCGGGCCTTTCAAACTTTTAGCCTTGGCGAAGAAAGCACTCGCTGTTGCATATTTTTCTTGCCACATTTTCCATTGTGCTGCCCCGGTGATTTACCTTTGGGTGATTAGTGTTGTGCTATCGGGCTACATTGCCCCTGTGGAAGCATCGATTTACAACAATCTGCCGATACAAATTCCATTTACTCATGAGGTAAGGCACATCGAAAAGTTAAGAGGAGTCCTTCAAGGTTTCAAGCGGCACGGTACAAAATTATATTCACAGAGTCTGGCTTTAGTTATCTGGTTGCTACTGTTGACAGTAGTAATTACGATCAGAAGGCCTGTGCTTAGTGATGTGGCTAACTGTTGACTGTAATAATAACAAGAGCAGATATGCATCCCAACCAGAGAAGTCTTGAGTTATCTATTTTGAATGCTTCAAGCTTATGGCAATATAACAATTGCACAGGCATCATTAAAAATAGTCGAACCTGTTCATGACAATGGCTGTTTTGCAACTAGAAATAATAAGTTGTGACGACAATTTAGACGTTGTCATATGGGGAACATAAAGGGGTTGGGGGTTTGTAGGCATGGGGACAGCCATTGTTCACGGCTCTCGATGCTTCAAAACAAGTCATTACAGTGGAAAAACAGTTAGCTTATCATAACAATAGGATCAATTGCTCAGAAAGGCATTGAAATGAACAAATTTGCTTGGAATTCGAATGCAAAATAAAACAGGAATTGTTTACCAAAATGCTACCTTTCGAATTTATTATTGAATAAGTATTCTTCGTTTAGTCTCTTAATTTTATTTCGTGGAATTATTTTTAAAGTAAAATAATTCATTTAAATGTTTATCTAGGATTTCGAATATATAACTTAATTTTTTCACTGTGGAACTAGAAGATTTTAATAACTAGAATTTGAGACCACTGTAGCTTCGCTTCCCCAAGTGCAGCACATGCATAAATTAAACCTAGTTGAGCTTCAAGTTTTGCCCTCTACAAGTGCGTATGCTCGTGTGTGTCGGCGAGGGTGTTGGTGTGTTGGTGTGCAAGCATGCATGTGGACCATTATCGATACCGAAGGACATTATCGGCACACATGCACCGATACACGGGGCAAAAAGATGGGGAGGACGAGGAGGCATGGGCATGCATAAAACATGTTTTGGTCGGTTGGCTGCAAATTGAATCAATAATATCCAATCATGGGTTAACAATGCGAATTGATTTCTAGCAGCCAGGCAGCCAAGCCCCTCCTCGTCCTCTGTTATCCTGCAGGAGCCTCCTGTTCCAGGAAGAACGTCGCCTGCACATATGCAAACATGACGGCACCGAACACAAGATAAGGCCACAACAGCAGCTTCGGCTTTCTTCTTCTGCCCCAAACGAAGGAGCGCCCATGTAAATATTAATTAAGTTTTGGCTTTTGTTGCATTAGGCTTCGGTTTTTGCAGCAGACCCTGCAGCCAGTGGTTAAAGGCTCCCAGGTGCCGGCATCTATCATTCTATTAGCTGCGCAGCATTAGGTGGTTAGTTAGCTTGTCCTTTGTACTGTTGTCTTGGCCTAATCAAGTTAGCCTTACATGCCCTTTGTGTTTACCAGGCCATTTAATTAGTTCAAAGAGTCGTGTTTGATTTGACACTAATCCGGTGTATACTTCGTTGGCATCCCGTGCACATTCAATGGACAATATTTGCACAGATGCGACACAAGTATGCAGTCCATTAAATTTCATTCGATCTGAGATCTCCGTTCTCGATTGCTAGCTAAAATCGTAATAGCCCAGAAAATTTATCTCAGTCGGGAAATTACATTTTGCACAATTTGTAAAACTTTTTGCAATGGTGTCGCCAACTGCCGCGAACCGAGCTGAGCTGAGCCAAACTTTTACCATTTCCATTATAAGTTTTACACTTGATACACCCACCGCAAACCATCCACCCACCAAGCCACCCAAAGGAGCAGCCTCAATCCCAGCTTATGCGTTTATTTAATTTCGCTTGAGCATTACGCATACGCCAGGGTGTTCACTGAGCTCTTATAATTGCCGCGTAATTGGCGAGCAGAATAACTGTTAGCTCCGATGACATTTTTAAATTCTGAAGTACTTACCTTGCTTTATTAAGAATTTATAGTTTTTTTAGTAAAGTTTACTTTTATTTATTTATTGCAATTAAATTGGTAAGTATCTAAACATAGTCTAGTAGTCTTATTATAATTTTTTTTAGACTATTTAACAGCATTTGCCTTACTGGCATATTTAAGTTCTAGTTTCCTCATACACTCATAAAAATAATTTTCTACATTTTAGAAAATCGCCCTAAAAAAATTTTCGCCCGTGAACTGAGAAAAATTTTCTATTTTCACGACAAATTTGCCATAAATTCAAGGCAGGTGGCCATAAAAAAATCTTTTTAGGGTTAATTTTTCTATTTTTCTAATATTTAGGGCGATTTTTTTCGATTTGCTTCGTTTTGACCTTTTCTAAATCCAACGGCGAATCGCCCTAAATTTTTCTAAACACAACGGCGATTTGCCTTAAATCTGAGGACTGCAGGTCAGCATAGAAAGAGAGAAAAATATAAAAATAGAGATACCAGATATGCAGCGGTTTTTGGTTATGTTTCCGTCTCCTCGAAAGAGTGAGACGGAGCACTTTTTTCGACGAACTTTCGGGAAATTTGTGTGCACTTCGTGTGACCTACGTATGTATGGATTTTAGTGCGTTGTGAGTTTTGACAAGTGTTAGACGTAAGTCATGGAGCTGCTACTAAAAGACTTGGGAGGAGAAGCCTTTATTAATATTTTTAATGGTAAGTAAATTGTGTAGTACATGTACGTATTTTATAAATAGATAATTAATGTGATACAATTTAATTGTGTTTATTAGAACGGCATTTCAACCTTGAAACCTTAAAACACTTAAAATGGGATCAGCTGCGTGGTGAAATTCCAGTAGAATTGGTAGGGCCAGCAGTCGAGTTTTTTCAAAGACTAGAGCTATGGCAAAAAAACGTAAGTATTAAAGATTCAGTGCAAGTTCAAACATAAATACGTTTTGGTTGTCGAAATATGTGTGTGTATGCATTTGTTTTCCTTTTGTTGCGAAGGGGCAATAAACTGCGCAGTCGCGACGCGTGGGCGCCGCAAAGAAAGAAACTGCGCATTTGTTTTTCAGAATAAGGGTTGAAATTTTGAGTTACTTTCAGTTGTGTGTGATTTGTGGTAAAGTGAAGATCTATTTTGGTTTAATTTCTGTGCAACAATTAATCTAGATAGCTAAAAATTAGACATATTTCATAAATTTTCAGGATCAGGATCAGGATAACAGTATTAAGTCCGTATTTGGTGTTTCATTGAGCAATATTCTGGCAAACAGCAAGAAGGGAAAGCTTATAATAAATAGCTATGAAGAAACAAAATCCCTCAATACCAGGACACGAAGGGAGCTGAGCCGTTCCATCGTAGAGTACTTGCTGGCAAAAGCTGTTCAACCTAAGCAGGAACTCTTAGAAGACGTCGCCTTGCAAATTACTCATCTATTCAGTTCTAAAACTGCTGTAAGTAACTATTTTATTCCAAAAACAGTATAAATTTGAAGTATTTTTCCCCTAGGAAACCTATTTTCTTAAAAACAAAGGCAAAAACCAGGTGGACTGATCTACTCAAACTATTACAACGTCTGATGACGAAGAAAATCTTTCCCCCAATGCACATGTTCTTGAAGGCAAGTGAAACTTAACCTTTTCGAATACATGTATTTAAGAAGTATTTTACGTTTATAGAGGAGGTCGAGTTAGCAAGAACTTGGTTAAAGCTAAATGTCGAGCCGTTCGAGACTGTTCTGAATCACTGGAACTCTAGCTTTATGTGGAGGACTAATTTTCTTAAATCAGAAGCAAATTTCTCCGATGTGTTGGATGAATTTCCAATTTTAAAGCAATCATTTGGACACTCTCTGGTTCGTTACCCTTAAAATCCAAACTTTCCCATATCTTTAAAGTAATTTTATTTTAGATTGAGGCCGATTTTGATTTGCTGTATCCCCATCAAAGCAGAAAATTGGTTGAAAAATGGGATAATTTTAAAATACAAATTGTTCCCCTTCTCAAGTCCAAAGTCAGAGAGCAACAAAGTTTAAATTTGTTGAAAATTTTTGACCAGCAATCAGAAGGTATTTATTTATGTTTAGATATTATAAAATCATTTTTAAAGCAAACTATTTTCTCATTTAGGAACTAAGTCAACTTTAATATGGATGTGCCTACATGCAGTTTTGGTTCCAACAAACAGATGCAAAAAACCTGGATCCAATAATCCAGCAGCCAAATTCACGATCGCCGACTCGAGAAACCGATTCATGGTGTGGAAGGCGAGTTTGGGCGAGCTGCAGACATTTCTAAAGGATCAAACGGATACTTGTTTCAGTGACAAGCTAAAACTTCAGCCCTTTGTATGTTGTATCAGAACTAACCCAATTAATTTAACTGATTTTTTTGTTTATCTATCCGGTATATTCTACCGTATGCCAGACTTGCTCACAAGTATTGATGTTTGCTTCAAGATATTTTTTGTTTTAAATCTCAAATATCCTAGTGAGTGCCAATTGGTGTGGACATTTATTCAAAAGCTAATTTTTGAAATTGAGCTTAGCTCAGATATAAAAAACAAATCTGTTTCGGAGCTGATAAATGATTATAAAAATTTAAAAAAGTAATTTATTTTTAAATTTGAACTTTTCTCTTATAATATTTCAATTTTCAATATATTACATTTTCTTTTTATATTATAAGATATTAGGTTTAAATTTTTTGCTAATTTTCGTTAACTTTGAAACTTTTTTATTTTTTTTATTTATTTATTTTTTTTTTCTACCATTACATTTAGTTTTTATATAGTTTTCCTTAGGTTAATCATTTAATTTTGAAACTTCTTTTTTTTTCCTTACTTTTTATTTTTTCTTACCATTACGTTTAGTTTTTTATATCGTTTTTTTTATAATCATTTAATTTTGAAACTTTTTTTCTTACTATTACTTCTTACTATTTAGTTTTTCATATTTTTATTCCAAATCCGTATCAAAATGGAACTGAAATGTAAAATTTGCTTTCTTAATTTTGCTGACAAAACTAAATTCATGGCTCATATGTATGAATATCATACGCTTACACTTTTTTGCAATCTTCCTTGCGGTTTTATGTTTTGTTCCCAAACATATTCTAATATACGGTCCCTCGCCAAACACATTCAAAACGAAAGTTTACATTTACAAAAAAATAATACAGACGACAATAGTACAATAGTAAATTTACAACAAGAAGAATTAGAATTATTAGAGTTTCCGATAGTAAACAAACCTTCACAACAAGAGATAGAATCAGATTGTCAACACACATGATTCCAAACCGAACACCGTAAATTTCCAAAATAATACAGAAAACTTTACCTTAAAATTATGCTCAATATTAAAAACTCCACGCGAAGAAGTTTTCAAATTGCAAAAAGAAATTAAAAGATATATCACAACCCCGTTAGAAAAGGAATTACGGAAAGTTAGAAATTCACTAAAGACGCCACACGATTTAAATAATATTATAGATTTTTGCCAAAACCCATTTAGGAACTGTAACAGTGAATACAATCTATTAAAAACTCTCAGGGATAAAGATTTATATGAGGATCCGCTTATTATAACCATTGATAATAGAATATCCCCAATTAGATTTAGAAGCAGAATGTCTTTAAAAGCAAAAAAAATACAAGCGGCAATCTTTCCTTTAAAGTTTCACTTTAAAAAATTTTTTGAAATGCCGTCTGTACTTGACAGTTTTTTGAAAAGACTTGCTTATTGGGAAGGTCAAAAGAATTTTTGTAATTTCGTAAACGGTTATTTATGGAAACAAATTAAGTTAAGCTTCTCTAATTCCGATAAAATTGTCTTGCCATACTTTTTATACTTTGATGACTTCGAGGTTAACAATCCATTGGGCCCACATTGTGCCCCTATTCAAGGGGTTTATTTGTCCTTCTGAACTGCTCCCAATGAATTAAATAATATCTTTTGTGCTGCATTATTTAAGACATTTGATATTAAGTTATTAGGTTATTCTAAGTGCCTTTTTAAATTTATAAAGCTTCTACAAGAACTTGAAAATGACGGAGTGGATGTAAAAATAAATGGGAGGCACCATAAAATAGTTTTTGTCTTAGGACTAATTTTAGGCGACAATTTGGGACTGAATAGCGTTTTGGGATTCACAACCTCATTTTCAAGCAGTTTTTTTTGCAGGTTTTGTAAGCTTTCAAAATCAAAAACTGCATTAGCATACAATGTTAAATTTAAATATTTGCGAAATGAAGTGAATTATAGAGAAGATATTGAACAGAGTGACCCAAAATTAACAGGAATAAAGTCCGATTGTGCTTTTAATAAACTTCAACATTTTTCAGCAGTAAAAAACTTTTCTGTCGACATATTTCACGATGTATTCGAAGGCATTTTACGCTACGATATTCCGCATATTATTATGCATTACATTGGTACTAAAATATTTGATCTAGAAACATTAAATTTACGAAAAACTAATTTTCAATACGGTACTGCTGAAATCGGAAATATTTTTCCCCCGTTGCAGTTGAATCATTTAAAAAAATTTAATATTAAAGCAACAGCCCGTGAGCTTCTCACATTTGTAACTTATTTTCCATTAATGATAGGGGACTTAGTTCCAATTGAAGATACGGTTTGGAAATTTGTGAAAAATTTACTAAAGTTAATTGATATAATTACATACTCTCAGTATACCATCAATGATTTAAAATCTTTAAAAGAAATCATAACATACCATAATAAGGAATACCCTATTTTATTTAATGATTCTTTAAAGCCAAAGCATCATTTTTTATTACATTATTATGATATAATACAACAGTCTGGACCCCTTAAGTATTTGTGGACTTTTCCTTTTGAAGCCAAACACAAAAGCTTAAAAACATACGCAAAAAACACGACTTCTCGAAAAAACATTATTGTGTCCTTGGCAAACAAGATGTGTATTAATTTTGCAAATTATATTCAAAATTTTAAAGTCCAGGAACTAGAACTCAGCAAATCCAAGTGCTTAGGAACAAATTCCCTATTATTCGAAGAGCTTTGTAACTTTTATGATCAAATAGAAAATGTTACTTGTTATACCTACGTAAAACTTCAAAATATTATTTTTAAAAAGAATTTTATAATATACAGCTTCGAACCAGATTTTATATCATTCGAAATAAATGAAATATGTTCCTTTGAAAACGAAGTTTCAATGTTATGTGCTAAGCTAAAAACAAAATATAGTGAGCATTTTACATGTCATAAAATCTTGAAAAAAAAGGAATATACCCTGATAAAGTTGAATGACATCAAATTTCCGCCCACGGAAACACAATTAATAAATGAAAACATGTATATTAAACCTAAATTCTATTTTTAACTAATCTTTAAATATTTATTAGTTTAAGCAATATTATAAGTACCTAATAGTATTTAAAAATATTTATTATGTTAAAAAAATGTATACATAAATTTAAGCAATACCAATGTAAAATAATAAATAATTTATGAAAATCCAAAAATAAAACCAATTTTTTAGGGCTATCCACCTGTTTTTAAGAAAATAATTTCTAATATTCAGAAAAAAATACCATAAAAGTAATCCCAATTTTTAAAAAAATTTAGAAATAAATTCTATTTTTGGCGGCGATTTACCCGTGAATTCAGAAAATTGTCCCTAAATTTAAGGAAACCGCATCTCACATTTAGGGCAAGTCACCAATAAAAGAGGAAAATCTGTCTAAGGGCCGGTTTCTCGAGTGCCGGCTAACAATTCTCGAACAGATAAAGTCCCTGCTAAGGCATTTTGGCTTTCTCGAGCATAAATGTGAGAGCTAACTTTGACAGGGACTCGAAGTCCCTGTTAAGCGTTTTCGGCTCGATAGATTGACAGCTGATTTCCCAAAGCCAACTATGAAGAAGAAACAAAATCACAGCTGACTTTTCCTTTAAATTATACCCAAACAGCTGATGAAATAATCGAAGCATGCCATTTTTTGCGCTTCACAGCACAATTCTGTGCGTTAACAGCACTCTGTAATTGTTTCTCGTTCAGATAAATTGAAGTAGTCGAGAAAGCGGATTTGCTTTTACGAACAGTTTATCTGGTATTTAAGTTTTTCGAACAGGTAGCTATCAGGGACTTTGACAGGGACTCGAGAAACCGGCCCTAAATGAAAGAAAATTTGCCCTAAATTATGACAGTTCTGAACCAAATCTAGAATAATAATTCTGATATTTAGGGCTCTTTACCCTAAATTCACGAAAATTGTTCTAAATTTAAGGGCATATGGGATAGAAATTAGAAAGCCCATTGGTACAATTAGGGCATATCACCTTAAAAACAGGAAAATATTTCTCAATTCAAGAAAAAACACCCTAAATTAAACCAAATTTCCATAGGAATTTTTTAGAAAAATTTTTCTAAATCCACGGGCGAATCGCCAGCGGATACGATTTACGGGCGATTTTCTAAATCCACGGGCGAAAAGTCAGTTTTTTAGGGCGATTTAGGGTAAAAATTTCTATGAGTGTAGCAATTCGTTCGATGGACTCCATTTGCAAACGGATGAGTCGCTCGTGAACCTGTATCTCATACAGATCGATATCCAGCTTACGTTTCTTCATCTGAAGCTTAAGCATCTTAATATCTTTCTTAGATCGAATGATTTTAACTTGGTTGTTGTTAGTTGTGATGTTTGATTTGTTTTCTATTGAATTTATTGTAGTCTGATCACATTTTATGGGTAAGAAGTAAGTATTTGGGTTAGTCCCAGTTACAGCAGTTCTTGAATTAACTTCTGAGTCTAAGGAACGTTTCCTTTTCACACAGATATCATTAGTTGGGATTGGAGAGGTGACAAAAGTATTAGCAGGATAATTAGACACAGTTTCTGGTTCCAGCGGCAGCATTTCAAATTGTTATTCGACTTCAAATATCTATAAATTTAAGATGGTAAGTGAGAAATGCTGATTTTAAATGGGATCTTTGGACGTCTGCAGTTTAGCTCTGCCTAGTTAAAACTGAGATCTTAAAGCCCGTCAAGTCCTCTTTATACTACCAATCGGTACGCCATAAAATATTGTTTTCGAAGCGCTACCTGTAGAATATGTACATCTGTCGCTGATTTTATGGTTGGTAACGGGTTTCGGCTATATAAACTATTTTATACCCCTATAGGGAGTAGCTTAGGTAGCACAAGGTGGGATTAGGAATAGGTAAAATGTAGTTACCCAGCTCAATCTAATTTGGGACCAACAGGTAAATCTTTTAAAATTTAAAAATTGTACTCAACAGCATATCAACGTTTTGTAGTAGTACACACAAAAAAAAAACTTGGTAAAATCAACTGTAATAATTGTCAAACAGGCCCCAACCAGCAAAATTGTCAATTCTACTAAGTAAATTGTCATTTCACAACAACAAAATACACACAATTAGCAAAGACACAAACCCAAAGCAAAAACAAAATACACGTAACTATTTTAATGTTGGTCAATTTTACCAATCAAATTTTTTTGTGTGTAGTAAATGCCACTGACCAACACTAAAAATAATGGCAATATGACCAATCGGAATTGGCACAGAATTTAAATGAGTTTCTTTAAGAATTCTGAGGCCCCTAATTTATTCTTTTTCCTCCGTATTTTATATTATCCCTGAATGCCGTTGGACATACGATTAACACGTGTCGATCGTGTAATTTTAGACATTGAATGGAATGTGGCTACGTTTCCAAAGACAAAAACGCGGGAAACGGGCAGCCAGATGGGCTTCCTGTTTGTCGTGTTGCCAAAATGAATTTAGATATAGAAGATGCGGCTAAAAAGGCCGCCCAGATCCTAGGCAAACTCGATGTCGGGCAGCGGTTCCTGCAGCATCTCGTCCACGCCGTCGACGAAGATCATGACCAGGCCGAGGCTGGGACGCAGGTTCTCCGGCATGTGGGTATTGTCGCCGGCCAGCACAACCACACAGGGCTTCCCGGTGACCAGAGCCGGAACCAGGCGGGTCACAAACTGGCTCATGCGATGGTGGTTCTCGCGGCGCACGTCCAGGGTCATCAGACCCTCGGGCCAGCGATCCTCGTGGCAGCGGTCCACCATCAGGTTGAGCATGTGCATCGGGCAGCCGCTGGAGCGCAGAACATCGCGTACCATAAGATGCATGGGGGTGTCTGGAGTAGAAATCAAACTGCCCCACGTGTGGACGGTGGCCAGTGGTAAACCATTGCCCCACTGCATCAGCGAGAAGCGGTCCAACTGCTCGCCAATGTTGCGCAACACTGGGTTCGTAGATCTAAGGGCTGCAATGTAGTACTGGAAGAGCTCCATCTCCCGGCGCTGACTCAGGTTGCGCACCTCCTGGATGGCCTGCTTCTCCTTCAGCTCGGCAATCTCCTTCGCATGCTGCTCCACCAGCTCGCGCAGCTCGAAGATGCAGTTGTGGTGCGCCATCTCGTCCTTGGGCACCTTCAATACAGATATTTGATAAATTTCTTGGGTAAAATATAATCCTTTGACACTCACCTTCATTCCGCATCCTCTGCTGCACTCGACCACCACCTTGGGATTGTGCTCACAGGCGACCACGTGGCTGCGGAAATCCTCGAGCGCCAGCATCTGTTCGCAGCCGTTCGGCGAGAAGGAGCACTTGATCTTCAGCCGGGCGAGCATGTTGCGCATGAGACGGGAAACGGGCACCAGGTGCTGCGGCTGCAGGATAGAGCGGTCCACCGGGCAGATCTGCTTCTGCTGCATCCACTTGTCGATGCAGGCGCGACAGTAGGCGTGCTCACAGCATGACGACTGGACGGGCTCCTCCAGAACGTCCGTGCAGATGGGGCAAATCAGCTCCTCGTCCACATGACCCACAATGCTGTTCAGATCGAAGCCCATTTCGATTTCGATTACGAGGTTGACGTCGCTGGCGTTTCTAAACCGTTAATTGAGATTTTGCTACTTTGCTTTGCTTACCAATGAGTTTCCTACTAACTTAGATACTTTTTATAACTTTTTATAATTTTCCAATCAAAATGTACTTTATAAGCCAGGGCTGAATAGTGTCAAGGGTGACATCTGGTTTACTAAAACTTAAATAGGCTGCTATGTTTGAGAATTTCGTTATATATCCTAGAGTTTTAAAAATGCGTAATATTTAAAAATTGTAAATAATAAATATTTTTAAATTAAAATAAAACGTAAGTTATTTTATGATTTAATTTTAAAATTTTTGGAATGTTGTAGAAAATTTTAGATACAGTGTCAGTCATACTTACTTTAAATATTTTTCGTCATTAAATAAAAAGAATTTCATATTTTATTTTGAAATATTATTATTATTTCATATTAAAATCAAAGTTTAATTTTTTTTAAATTTACTTTAATTGTTAATTGTTAAATTTTATATTTTCATATTATAAAATAAAAAATATAGCCCAAAATATAAAAATTTAAAAAAATCTTTGGATTCATTACGTTCCTTTTTTATGTGAAAAATTTATCAACTTATATCATACAACCGTTATTGACTTTATCGAGAGCACACATATTGCCAATGTTGTAATCTCCGTTTCTTTTTAATCAAAAAGTATAGGGCTTTTGGCTCATCTGTTATGCAAACAGCTTTCATTGAGCCTTTTGCGACTTAGGACACTTCAATTTCAATTCAAGCGCAACTGAAACCAACTAAACAACAAACAGAAAACCGGGAGCCATCCATCCATTTTCTCCCATTTGAGGGGGAGATCCGAGAAAACGTTTTCTTGAGGCACTTGCATATAGTGCGGTCGTAAAACCCTTTGCATATTTATAGTCCCAACTGCTACGGAAGTTATGCAAATTGGAAAACTTATGGCAGGACAAACCGGAATGATGCCGACCGACCGGCCGAGCGACCAACCTTCGCCGACCACGTTTCAGCTCGCCAAGAGCTGAATTTTATTTATAAAGTGAAATTTTAACAAATTAACAGCAAATGCTGGGACATGGGCAAACAAATAAACTTTCCATCTTCAGCCTTCAGCTCGACAATAGCCGAATTTCGGGCAAACACTCGTCAGACGGCAGCACACAGGCATGATTGTGACAACATATTGCCATGTCAAAATATTTACACTATATCAACTGCTCTATGCAAACGCTGGATGCAAACTTGAAACTTGAAATACGTATGAGGCAGGAGGACAATGTGTGACTGGAAATTCGGTTTTAAATTTCATTTGGTTGCGCCATCCGCTTGGATATTAAATTTCATGTTTTTCCTTAGACTGGCATTTGCCTTTGTCTGGCTTTTTGCATTTTGTGTGACAAGTTTACTGCATCGAGTTCTCTTCGTTGGATTGCAATTTTAGTTTACTACGCATTGCGAGGGTCGAAAAGCCAAAAACCTGCAGTTGCTTATCTCCAAATGCAACTGTCAGTTGGAGCTAGCATTTCGGTTTTCTCTAAATTCCCGTTTAAGCATTCAGCATTTTCCATAATTTCCTCTTTCTAACACTTTTTCAGTAACCTCTGAAATAAATCACAATTGACCAGTGTTTATTGCATTCCTCTAGCCTTATGGTGTTGAATTTATTTATATGAATCGCATTCTAGTCAAAATAATTAAATTTATGGCAGATTCGTTTATCCATCGCACGGGCTTTGTGAAGCTCAATGCCAATATTTCATATTTCTGAACTGATGAAGCGCATTAGAAAATAATCAACAATTTTCATTTGACTTGGCTCAGATAAAAACAATCCAGCAGAGAGACAATCAACCGCACACAAAACGAACCACTCAAGCAGGCTAATTTAATAAGTTAAACATAACACAGATAAATGCTGGCAACACACAAAAATACACAGAGAGAAACAAAACATTTTTAAAACTGATTCAAAGGCATTTTTCTAATTACGCAATTATTGAACTGTGGGAGTTTTATTTCTCTAGAACGGGAGTGATTTTTGTAAAGTCAAAGTAACAAAAGCATGCCCGTGGTTACACGCTTATCTTGCATTGGGCACACGTCGATTCTTCTGTGTGTACTGGTCTTGTTTTGAGTTTTTAAAAAAATATAAATATTATTTATTTTAAGGAGGTATGGTTAAAAACGAACGTACTTTGAGGTTTCAACCAGTATGTGTTTTTTTCAGTGAACTTATGTACGATACCCGACTAATAAGGTTAGCAACGTGTAAACAGTCATTACGTGAGTGCTTCTGTGTTGGTATGTAACGAGCCACAAATGCTTGCCACACAATGTTTATTTGCATTTATATTTGCTGTTCTTCCGTCGTTGTCATTTCATTGCAACAGGAGTACGTGCCGCATTGTGCTCAAGTCGTCAGCATCCTGCTACCACATTCTCTTAGCTTCGAGGATAATCATTAATGACAGAGGATAAGAAGCATCCTGCTCAAAGTCGTACGTACCTTGTTTCAAGTTCTAAAACTAATGATTGGTAATATAATAATCTTTTCAGATTGTTTGCCCAATGCTTAAAGCTGAAACTGCAATAATATAAATCAATTATTCTAATTAACATGTATAGACGGGGAATGTCAGTGGTGCAATAAAATAAATGTATACTTCAAAACTGATATTTAAATATGTTTTTAAGTTCAAATAATTTTGATAGATATTTCGTACTGCTCTGGCAGGCATGTTGCTTTTGCTTATTTTTTATTCCGACATAACGATCCATTTCCTAGAGCAACAAGCAAATTGTCATCCTTGTTTCGAACGCTTCGCCCCGAAAGATACAAAAAATTACCATGAATTACTGTAATTCCGCTTGGGCTGGCGTCCTGGCCCCAAGTCATGTCCATTACATGGAAATGGGACATGTCACAGGACATCGTCACCGGGAAGAGAGGAGAGCCGGGTCCGATCTCTGGGTCCTGCGATGGTCAAGCGGTCACGTTCGCATTGTATGACCGGAACGTGCAATTTTTGGTCCACGGAGCGAGGGGAATTGCTTGGGGAATGGGGATGGGGGGTGGGAGAACGCAATAAGCACAAGTTTTCATGCAATAAAATTAGCCCACACTCTGCACGCGCAGGACACGCAGGATGCTTCAGTGGCTGATAAGATAATTTTATTTGGATGTTATTGCATAAAGTCATGTGAGCAGCGGAAATGAGTTGAACTAAAGTAAAGCGACTACGTGCCTCTGAGCCGAGGGATGGGGCAGGGTGAGGTCCTGGCCACGCGGCAGGGTGCCAGCACAGAGTTGGCTGGACAAATTAATATCATAATTTTGAAATGGTTAAATAAAAGCAGATGGGAGAATGGAAGAAAGGGTAATTGTCTAAAGCAATGGCCTGTACCCCAAAAAATCGCCCTAAAATATAGTTCGCCAAATATAATAATCTTTTATTTCTTTTTAAATAAAAACTGATCAATTTTTTAAATTTAGTTTCTTAGCTTAAATATTTTGGTTTGAAAAGAGAAAGGCACGCAAATAAGGCAATGCACTAAACAATGGAATCAAGTTTTCTTTTAAGTGGTCTGATGTCCCTGTGTTATCATCACATCCCTTATCTCATTAAATCATCGTGGCAGCCGGGGCACAAATTAGGCAAAACATCCGTGGACCTTCGTCTGTCTTTATTGTCCGCTCAAGCGGTACTAAATTAGCTTGTACGAGATTGCCAAGGGCAATGACCTTTTTTCTTTTTCAAGCTGTAATTACCGAAAAACTTAAATTACGTAAAATAAAGGTAGGTTTCCTTATATCTTATTTTAGAAAATTGTACCTAAAAATGTAAGGGCAGACATTTTTTTAGATAATAATTTTTAGATTTTAGGTAATTCCAGATTATTAAAGAAATTATTTTATGAGCTAACTGCATGCAAATAATTATAATCGATTTAAGCAATCTTTTGATATGTGAATGACGAGGAACGTGGCTCATTCCAAAAGAGCTTCGCTTTGAGTGCCCTAATCATAAAGCTTCAAAAATGATTGCTGTGAACGTTTTACTGGAATTTACCAACTGACCGCACACACAAAAATATTTTTTTTGCCACACCCGAGGCGACAACAAAAATCCAGAACGATGAGGCCCACGATGGAGCAACAAGAACAGCCACAAAATCGGGAAATGCCGGCGAGCGAGGGAACGGCCTCAAGTGCCGCAAGAGCACTTAATACTAATTAGCTTTGCGCCTACGCCGTGACCTACGACCTGGCCCCACGAACGGCATTTCCGGAAACGGAAACCGAGTCTGGGGAGCAGATAGGGATTCAGGGGTGGGGGTTTGGGGTTCCCAGCAATCTGTGCCGCGCTTAAGTGGCCGCAACACGCAGAAACACGGTGATATTCAGGCGACGAGGGGTGGGGGTGGGTTAAACAGCTTGGGGGCGTCATTTTTATGAGCTAATTAAGTTGTTAGACTTGATGAAAAACTCATTTCGTCGCAGGTCCATATCTAATTTGCATTAATTACGAGCTGGCGACAACAAAACGCAATAAATGAGGGATAAATTTGGGCTCGTTTTTGGTTTTGGCCAAAAGTCGAACGGCTCTTTGGCCAGAAAACATTCCTCCTGCCAAGCTGGCCATATAATTGGCTGGCAATTTGCATTTATTGGCAACTGCAAAAATAAATAATGACAATCGAAACGACCAACTTTCTGCTCGGAATCTTGCAACTGACTTTGCCTGCAACACTTGCCAGTTGCAACACTTTTTGCCATTTGTCCCACCCTTTGAAGTTCAAATTTGCACATAGTTTATAATTTTCTTAACCACTTCGCTGGTTCCAGGCAATTGAAACGAAAGTACACAACTTTTTAATGGCCAACGGCTCGAGGAACTTGGCCAGGACACTCCCCAGTTGGATTGGCCGAAAAGTTTTCGAATTGTTAGCGAATGGCTAAGCGCTTTTTAGGACTGAACTACCCTGGAATGTCTGTGACATTAATTCCCAGCCCTTTCTGTCAAGGTCACAGCGGTCTGACTTCCGAATTAATCGGAAAAGTTCTTGGTTCACAGAAAAACTCGAAACT